CGCCTGTAGTCCCAGCTACTCGGGAGGCTGAGGCAGGAGAATGGCGTGAACCCGGGAGGCGGAGCTTGCAGTGAGCCGAGATTGCGCCACTGCACTCCAGCCTGGGCAACAGAGCAAGACTCCGTCTCAAAAAACAAAAAAAAAAAAAAAAGTTTTTTATTTTTCGAAATGTACCTCTCTCCACAAGACAAAAGGAGTGTGCACGGACGAGGCTATTTTTTTTTCTTCTTTTCTTCCTTTTTGCAGAGAGGGCACAATTAGTTTATCTGTTGTTTTTTTTCCCCCATTTTTCGTCAATTTTTTTTAAAGAATTAAAATTTCCACGGCTGAACGGGAGACTTTACTGTTCCTGCGTCCCTCTTCCGTTGGCACATACTGCAGCGGGAAAACGTCTACTTAGATAAGGCGCGCGTTGGCGGTTATGCGGGGAGGCAGCAAATTGCAGACCCCAGTACTCGGCTGTCTGTGTGAGCATACATTTGTATATCATATATCTGTACATACATATGCTCACATTTCGGGCCACGTTTACCCCCTCGCGCGTCCATCAGCGCGGCGCGTTACAAGCAAGCGAAAAAACCACCGCGCTCGCAGAATCATTCGCATGACCAGGTCTTCGCGGCTAAATTGTAGAAGGGGAAAAGGAGGACCAGAACCGCAACCCTCATTCAACGCAAAAGGTCATTTCCTCAATCGGATAAGACCCCACACGAGGGCAAATGCGGTATGAATCTGCCAAATAGGTATATATGTAATATGTACATATATATAAGGCGAAAAAAACATTTATGCGGCTTCCCTTCTTTGCGCGCGTGCCCCATCGGTAAGGGAACATTTTCCCTCGTTTGAAAAACTCTCCATTTTATTTTTCAACAAATTGTCGAAGGGTGAAAAAGCTTGGAAAAAAGGAAAAAAAAAAAATAATAATTCCCATAAAAACGCGAATAAGCATTTTATAAGCGAACAACCAACGGAGTTTACAGCACGGTTTCAACGCCGTTTTGGAGAAAAATAAAAATAACACAAACCACAAATGGTTTTACAAGTAGGCATAAGCTTAAGCCAAGCAATCCTACTCCCACCCATTACAAGCTGCGGCGTAATTACGTACTTCTTTTTCGCGTTGAATCCATGTGACGACATTATGGCAAAAAAAAAAAAAAGGACTTAGCAGTTCTGCAAGCTTTATAAAAATTCCCTGTCCTTATTTTTATTTTTCAAAAATGTTTTTTCTTCTACTTTATGATATATTTCATTTCTTTTTTTTTCTTCCTTTTCCATTTAACAGTCGGATGGTTATTTTTATGTAAAAATTCCCATTTCCCTCAAATGTTAAGCTGCAATTCTGATGACAAGAGGGAAAAAAAAAAAAAAAAGTCATTTTGTACGTAATGACAACAGGAAATATTACATAACAAATTTGAAATTATAACTGCATATTCGTTTCCAAAAGCTCTCTATCATTTTTTTCTTTTCTTTTTTTTGTTAAAATTTTGTTTGTTTGTTTTTTTTTTTTTTTCTTTACCTGTAACAAAAACCCAGGAGAGACACTGGTACTCGCTTGTACCATGTTTCAGCCCCCAGTTCAGTTAAAGATAAAAGTTGCCTACCTTCCATGTGCATACGTATGTTTATATGTATACGCACGTACATATGCTGTGTCGTTTAGTAACAGGAAGGTACCAAAGCTAACGGGCCATTCTGATAAAAAGGAAAACGCCGACTTGCTCGCAGAGACAGTTTCCCTCGAGAGACTCTGCAACATTCTTGTGAAAAACGTGGCCAGTTAAAAATAAATAAAAGGAAAGAAAGAAAGAAACTTCTCTAACTGGTTGGACTTAATTCAACAGAGCAAACCAAATTGGGATCTCCATCACGTCGCTTGCTCGATCAAGAAGTGCCACCCTCCCATTTTGCCCATCGCGAAGAGGAGAGAACCAGAATAACAGAATCGGCCATTATCAAACGAACAGTGCATAGACAAAGCATTAAACAGTTATAACTGAACACCTACACCACCCCGTCGATGCGTTTATTCGCACGTATGTCTACAAGAATACATGATCTGAGCAGTGGGATAAGGCGAAGAAGGAGAGAAGCAAGAACCCCTTCTGAACACTTCCAAACCCTCCCGCTATGTAGTAGTTAAGTATATACCCAAATGTATAATAACGGATGAAAAAAATGGAGGAAAGGTTAAACGAAGGGGAGGAAATCTTTACGCATAGTGGGCAAGAGATGCATCCAAGTGTGAGAAGAAAAGGACAAAACATTTACGAATCCACAAGCTTTGACAAAAAATCCCTAAATTTTAACAAGCACATGGCGCATGCAAATTATCCCTTTTTATTACACCCAGGTGATAAAGGAGGCAGTCGTGAGTGGCATTTGCAGAATGCTCCTTATGTCAACTTAGCAAGTGCGTATGACCCCACCACGGGGCTCAGCATAAGGCACCCCAATGGCGACAGGCAAAGTGAAATACGCCCAAGTAACGGAGAGCGTTGCATGAAGAAGCAGATCAGTAACATCCCCATGAGTAATACCTCCAAGAGTAATACCGGCATGAATAACCCCCCTATGAATAACCCGCCTATGAGTAACCCCCCCGTGAATACATCCAACATGACAGTAACAAACGGGGGGGGGTTGAACCCAAACGATGGCAACTTGTACGCTTCCATGTACAGTGGAGGAATTCCCCAAAAAAAGGAAAGGCAAAAAAGTTATGTGGGTGAAGACAAAAACTGGAGCAGTAAAGGAGGCTCCCTGATCCCTATAAGAAAAAATCTCAGTGCTGCAATTTTTTACCGAAACGGCCAGCACATCGATATTGATAGAATGAAAAATGCCACACTTGGGAGGTTCTTTACACCAAATAGCAATGCGCAGTATGGTGAGGCAGACAATTTGATGATCCACCAGAGTCTCATAAACCATGTTCAGCAGGATGGTCATGTTGGAGAGAAAGCTGAGGTGTATACTCTTCTTCCTCGAGATAACAACAGCTGTGATTGTTTAACATCTGTGCTTAGTAACGTCCCGGAGGGGTACATTCAAAATGTCCCAGCCAACTACCAAATGGAGTGGAGGTGCAGTAACGAATGGGGTGGGACCCAAACGCAGGGTGTCGCACCAAGTGGAAACAACCCCAACGCACAGAGTAACGGCATTTCCCATCTGAATAGCAGTACCACCTCTCTTCCACATAATCGTTGTGCTTGTCCTAATTTCCAGTTTGACAAGAATGGCAATAGCAACCTCTGTGGCAACCGCGGTCACCTTCACAGTGATGTACACTTTAGTAACCACCCAACTGGCAATTTAGTGTACCATCCGGATGGTTCCCATATCGCCAGTAGGACTGACTCAATCCATCTGAACAGGGACATGAGGAAACTCCCAGCGAGTGAACACTTGCATGTAATTCCCCAAAAGGGTTGTTCAGGGAGCAATTGTAGCTTCCACGTTACTGGTGAGGGGATTAATCAGATGAATCATCCGAACCGTACAAAGTCACTGTTCGCAGATCAATGGAGTAATGAGGAACTTCTCACCAAACGAGGGAACACGTCAACCTCAAACTATAGGATTAGGAGGAAGGGGGACAGTCCGCATGGTGGTGAATCGTACGAAATGGGTGGCAGTGAGTATGAACCGAGTGGGCAGCGCCATCTGCAGGAAAGGCAGCACAATTTGGTTAGTAGTGAGGGGTGCATGTACCCTAATGGATTCCAGGTACAGACCCAGTTAAACCCAAATGGAACCCTTCTAATGAGTACTTGTGGTAGTTTCCCCATTAAAGCTGCCATTCCGGAAGACGGTAATTTTAGCGCACATATGGGCAGCAGTAGGGATTGCCAACCACTAAGCCCTCAGCAGGGGACAATCCAATTGGAGAAACAAATGGCAAACTGTGCAGTTGCACGGAACGATAACACGTATAGCAGAATGAAGAACCCGTCAACGTTGAACCCAATTGTACATGCAAATGAGTTCACTCCAATAATCTCAGACAATATGATCGGCAGTTCGTATTCCTCCTTTGTAAATAATCCAGTGCAGAATTGGCCACATTTGGGCGAGGAAAAGTTCTTTCCCCCCAAGGGCAACTACTGCGTGAGCAGTATAGAAAGTTCATCCCCATTAAATGCCAACCAGATGGGAGATTCCACCGGATTCATAAAAATGTATAATAATAGTAATACTTCTGGTGAAGACACTGAGGTGTCAGCATGGTCAACACGAGGGAGTTACCCCCCAAAGGAGGTTCTTAACAATGTCATGAGCAGCACAAAAGAGAGTCAAAGCAGTTTAATACGTACTAGTGGGGACGGAGTCGCCTCCCCTCCTATGTGTAGTTCTGCCTATGTGAATAACTTGACCGGTGTGTATGACATGGCGCAGCGAAGCATAAGTAGCAGCTCACGGCAGCTCAGCTTGTTGGATGTGCCGAACGAGGTGAACAATGAGCAGGAAGAAACTCTGCAGCGACAAAGGATGTACGACTTGTATGTGCAGTCGCTGTTGAATGGGGCGAGTGGAGTTATAAGCGGCGATGGGATTATAAGCTCCGGTGGAGTAACCAACCCGAATGCGCAGCTGGGGGAAAAGAACGACCAGTTAATATTATTCAATTTAAAAAACCTGCGCAATAAAATCACGAAGAAGGCCCCCCAAATGACCAACAATTATCTGTCCTACTTAGATCATTACATCGCCTCCCTACGGCTGCTTTACAACAAACTACTCAGCAACAGAAATCTGATATTCATCCTGGCGAAGGAAGTATTTGCACCAAAAAAAAAAAGAGATAAAAAAACATACAATGACGATAACGAGTCCACATTTGAGAGTAAGCATTTATATGTACAAGAATTGTTAGCAGCTCTGCTTCCCCAACCACCTGTCTTCCCTCCATTCGAAATATGGATCTACATGGGAAAGAGAAATGCCAGCCAACTGCACAAACTTCATCTAACAATATACATAATATACCAGAAGATTATTTGCAACATATCAAACATCCTTTTAAAAATAAACAACGACATGGTGAGCTATACAAGTAAGAGTAAATTTAGCAAACGCAATGGGACGGACTCGCTTAATGATTATGTGAATGACAATGGGGACGGGTTGAAGCGGACTGGTTGCCCCTTCTTAAGTGCTACAAAGGAGGGAGAAGCTCCCTTTGGGGGACCCAACAGAAGTGAGTACGTGGCCAAGAGGGGAGTCCAGGACAGGCAAGGGGCTGTCGACGTGGAGGATGTGGACTATCTGATCGAAGAAGATGACGCGGTTGAAGCGGTTCATTCGATTGACGCGCCCGACTCAGTTTCTGCCGTTCGCGCGGCGGACGACGCGGTGTGCATCCCCGTGAAGTCAGAGCGTGCGACGAGTTATAGCAGCCGCCCTGCCCACACCAATGAAGACGAACCCAATCTTCATAAAGGAGACATCCCCAGAAAATGCTTATTCCGAATTGACGAGAAGTTAGCCATTATGATGACTTCAATTGATAACATAAGAAAAATGATGAACTCAGCAGAAGGGGGAAGAAGCAATAGTAGTAAGGACCCGTCAGTGAACTCCCCAAATGGGGAAAGCAAAGCGACCGACGTGATGGCGCCGAAGTTGGACCATGTAGGCGAAGACGGGGATAATAACATCCAACAGGATGACAAAAGTGGCATTGGAGAAGAAGACAGGATCGGTAAACATACGAATCGTATAAGTAAAGGCATCTCTCTAGGTGGGTGTCCCCCCCCACACATTAGCATTAATCCTAATGATAGTCAAATAGTCGCGTATCATGAATTAACAGGTAGTGATGGACGACCCCTCTTTGAAAGGGTACCCACGTTTAAGTCGCATTATAGTAACTCCATAGACAAGGACAGTGCTCTAAAATTACTAAACGAGCTAAAGTACGAACTTAGAAATGTGTACAACGAAATACGATCTTTAAAGAGGCATGACAGTTACTACCTATCCAGTGGAGATAACGGAGAGGCGGGAACCTCCCTAGAATTGGTGAACCCCAATGATGACCACGGGGAGGATTATGCTGCTGTTCCGTCAGATCTGGGTGCAGTTTCGAATAGGAAGATAAAAACGGCAGACGAAACATCCCTCTTAAACGATTTTTTATACAGCCAAAGTGAAAGTTGCAACCCGTTGGTGAATGCACACACACGGGATTACTACCCTTGCGCGAGTAAAAAAAATGGAAAAAAGATAAAGATAAATCTGAAGAAGCAAAATGAAATACTTAACAGTCTCATAAATAGCAACATCTGCTCCAAAGAACAAGTCAATAAAGACATTATCTATGACTTGAAGTACACAGATGATATTTTCAAGAAGCTTTTATTTTTATGTCGTAATTTTTACACCAATTTATCTGACTATAAGGACTATGCTTTGGAGTCGTTTCACCAAAATGAAGTAGACTTAACTAATTTGAGTGAACACAACACTTTTAGCTACATGGAAAATCAGCCATTCTTTTCTAAAAGGCCACTGCTCCCGAGTGGAGAATTGCTACCTCAGGAGGATTTTCCAGCGGGGAAGTACCAACTGGAGGTTAGCGACTCCCCCTTGTGCGACGAAAATGGAGATGTTGACTCGCACACTATTGAGAAGGTGAGTGGCCTCCCCTTCAAAGCGGAAGATCACACGTTAAATGTGGCTCCAGTCATGGGCAGCGGCGATGGGGACCACGGCGTTAACTCGGGCGAGGAGACTCTTCTGAGTGACGAGCAAGTGGGATCAACGAACTGCGCAGAGGTCGCCAACCGCGCGAACTACGCGAGGTACACAAATTTGACAGGTGCCTCCCTGTATAATGCGTCAGACAGCTCCAACCCAAACAGTCAGGACGGCCTCCATGGAAGGAGCCCCTCCTGGGTGAAACTACCGATGGAGAAGAAAGAAGATAAAGAAGGTGCAAACCAGGTGGATGCCTTTTTTGCCAAATTCGATGGCAAGGAAGAACGGATAGAAGCTTATGGAGGAGAGACCCCCCAAAGTGCGATTTTGCAGATGGGTGAAATGGACAGCTACGCAGCTGGCGCTTGCACGGGTAGAAACGGAGGCGTACGTTATAGCCCTTCTTTCTTAAAAGCCACTAATTCGAATTATGCACAAATGGAAGTAGGCTTCGGTAACGTCGCGGAGAATGGGGGGGAGAATGGCGTGGACTGTGATGCGAACTGTGGCCCGGACAGTAATGCTGTGCATGCCTCGCCAGAAACGCTGTTTAGTAACACACAAAGCGCACTTCACTATAGTTACCCTAATCAGCAACATGGTGGCGATGGCTACAGCGACGTAAGAAGTCTACCCTTTAGGGATACATCTCATGTCAATTCGGAACACCCATATGTGGAACGTGCACCAGTCTCTGAAGGGGTTGCTGTCAGTCTGGATGATCCATATGTATTGGTAAAAAATACGGAAGAGCTAACCAGGCAGGGAAAATATATGACCAATTCCTACGTGCAAAACGATGTGAGGAGAGCTGAAAATTGTAGTTACCTTTTAAGCAATGCACAGAATGTGTGCTATCCAAATGAGGAGAATTTGCCAATAGACTTTGAAAACACCGAAGGGCTAGTCCGTAACGATTGTGCCAAGTATGAGCAGTGTCTTCCCAACGCATATGCTGTTGACACGAATGGGAATATGAGAAGTGGTGATAACTTCCAAAGGTTCAATACCCCAATGGCCAGGTGCCTAAATGCTGATGGGAGCTACGTTGGAGGGGATGTAATGGCGAATTGTCTCCACGTGCCCCATTCCCCATACCATAAAAACCAACCGTTCGGTATGTCCAGATGTGTTGGTGCGAATGGGTTCGCGGTCAGAGATACGGATTCATCGAACCATAACGGAATAAACAGAAACGTATGTTACTACACGGATGGGAGTGCACTTCCCAGTATGCTTAACTACCAGGGGGCACAGAATAGTTTCCAAAACAGCACCGGTGAGAACGAAATGGCAAGTGACCAATTTGCAACCAATGGGGCAACAAATAATTTTATGAGTGTCAATGATGCAGGGATGATTAACCAGTTTTCCTTTGCTGATGAGCAAGCGATAAACATGCACCGCGTGGATAATCTGCCCCAGGGTACTTCCACCTACCGACTCATAGGGCAGAAAAACACGTTTAAAGATGGCCTCAACGAAGGGGAAAACTTCACAGAAAAAATGTACAACCATAATGGTAACTACTTTAATAATATCAATTTGAGAGACACTACAGAAGATGTCTCAGATAATGAAACGAACAGTGGAGGAGGCAATCACATCTTGGGAGAGGATGAAAATACCTTTGATGGGGGTTCCTCATACTTTTTAAAGAATGGCCTTATCACGAATGACATGTCTTCTGACCATTGGAAGCTCACGTCAAACTTTGCAAACAAGCTAGAGGGAGTGAAGAGCGAATCGGGGAATGGAGAAGAGATGCACGTACGCAGCAATGGTGAAAAGATGAACATATGCAACAATGGAGAACACATCAACATATGCAACAATGGAGAACACATGAACGTGTACAACAATAGAGAACACATGAACGTGTGCAACTTAAAGGGAGGAGAAATGATGAGGAATAATAGCCCACCCGAGGCTCACACATCCCCCGAATCTCCAAATGAGTACCCAAACAGGACAGACGATCGAAGAGATCACAATTTGACCAATGATGCCAATAAAATCAAGCTAAAAAAAATGCTCGAAATTACTGATAAGCTAATTGGGAAGAAATACAGAGGGATATCTTACGACCCCACCAGAAATGGATGGTCAACCTTTGTATATAAAGATGGCGTTAGGAGGAAGAAATTTTTTTCCTCTTATAAATACGGAAACCTATTAGCTAAAAAGAAGTCCATAGAATGGAGACTAAAAAACTTAAGTCCAGATTCACATGCGTATGTGTTTTCTCTAAAAGCGAAAGAAGAATTTAATGCCATTTTGAATGATGGCTATGCAGATATCAACAATGTTAACTGTGACAGTAGGGATGGGGGAAACGACGGGGATAGCTCCAACAATAGGGACATACTCTATGTGAATGCTTTTATCAACCTTTTTAATAGCTCTGCAGGAAGGAAGAAAGATGAGCCGAATGGGGCGAATGGGCCGAATGAGCCGTTGTGCCAAATGGAGAAATCGTCCTATGAAGAATGTGCCGAGGAGCTTACTAGGGAAGGCACACAAGATGGAAGTGGACCAGGCAGTAGTGAGCTCGCCAAGGGGCTCGGCGAGGCGAATTACAAAGATGGAGGAGCGCTTAGGGGAGACATCGATGGACACACTGATGAGGGAAGTAACGACAGCAATGGAGGGAGTAATGATGGAAGAAATGGTGCACGCAATTATGGGAAGAATGGTGGAAGCAAGGATGCCCGCTTGAATGGCTGCCATGACCCCAATGCCAGCAACATCGATCGGGAAACCCCCTGCGCAAGCCAAGAGAGGAAAGAATGTAACAAAAAAAATTACCAGGGAAATAATTCAATGGCACAGAGTACCCATCTGAGTAGCCACTTGTGCGATGAGGCAGATGGCTGCCTACCCCCGAATGGTGATTTATTCCTCTATAAAAATTACTGTTCGATACTACTAAATGAGGAGGAAGCCTCGAGAATGGAAGCAGCAAATGGGTCCACCTGCGAAAGTGGGAAAAATGGGCTGAATGGACTAAATGGGCAAAATGGAAAACTGGACAACTTAAATGACAGCGCGGAGGAGGAGACGAAATCGACGCGAGGAGAGATCCTAGATCAGACAGCGCATTTCCAAATTGTAAATGGAGAAAACCAAGAAGTGATGATTTTTCCGCATGCAAATGATGTGTCCCCTCCACATTGTGGCGCACTCCCCAGGGAGGGGCTAGACCCTCGCCTGGCCAATGGAGATAACTGTGCAGTTACGCCATGTGGAAATAGGAAAAAGAGAAAAAGGCACATCATAAAGGGTGAAGGGAGGAAGCCTATAGGGGAAGGCGAACCCATTATGTCTCCGACCGCCAAACCAAACGTGACAGGAACGGGCGAACACTTCACTAGTGCGTACATCGCGCGAGATGCTTCAGAGGCTGGTTGTAGCGACACCTCCAGCAGTGACCTGTACGGAAGTGACACCGGCAGCTGTGATGGTAGGAGCCATGGCCCACTCCATGGAGACCGGAGTGATGACAAGTTCAAAAGGTGGATCGACAGTTGCCTGATTCATTCGATGGAGGAAAGCCACCCCTCGTTTGAGCAAGAAGAGAGTACCTGCAAAAATGACACAGCCAGGAAGGACAACTCAAAGGAGACCCTTAAGTACGTAAATAAATGCATATCAAAGAATGACCATTTCCAACGTCTTACTTGTGGCAGCGGAGGGAACGATAACAACAGCGTCCATATGCCTTATAATAACGTAGGGTGTTACCCAGATGGGAATTGTCTGACCAGTGGGCAGCCCCTTCTAAACGGTGTAGCTTCCACTCGTGAAAAGAGCCTTATAAAGACATTTCATCCGGTGGAATGTAAGAGCATTCCACAGGAGCAGCTGGTGATCGATGGGATTGTTAATAGGGCAGAACCACAGCACATGGGTGGAGGGAAGGACAATAGTTTCATCTCTGGGGAGATAACCCGTTTGGTTGGATTTAGCCATCAAATGGAGAAGCAGTTTATGTATTCGAGTGAGGAAACTGAAAGGGGGTCCCCGAACGTGCTGGATTGTAGCTTGAGAGGTGACTCCGGTAGGGGCGCGAATCAAAATGAATCTCCAAATGGGGTGCAAGACTGGACCCCCAATGGTATCACTGAGGAACGGGCAGCCCATCATAAGGGAGACCTCTTCCTGGAGAATAAAGACACAAGTGATAAAAATTGTTTACTTTACAAAGATACCCTACTAAGGTATATGAACGAGTGTACCTGCACGGGGGAAGAAGAAAAAAGTGTTTTCCTCCAATTTTTGAGATTAACCCCCGAGTGGGTTCTCCTAGAATTAGACGAATTGGAAGAAATGTATCATGGCTATTTTAGGAACAAAATTGAATCATTTTATAAATCCTACTTAGTTAAGATAAGCAGTCAGAATAGTAGTACCCTTAGGGAGGTACCCGAGGAAGGGTCCTGTCGCTCAACCAGTGGCATCCCTCCGAGACGCAGCGAATATATTAGAGAACTTCAACTCATTTTTGATAAAAAATTGAGTACCCTCTGGAAATGCATGATTTTCCCCATAGATTTCCTCTACATATTAAACTACAAAATTTTTAGAATCTTAAAAACGATGAATAAGAACAAGGTTAAAAGTGCCAAACAAGAGAAAGACAAACAGTTCAAGTGTACGTTGAAAGGAGTCAATTTCGTCAAGTATAAAAGCGCATGGTGTTTTACTTACGTAGACTTGGATGATAAAAAGAAGGAAAAACTATTTCCTATTAATGACTACGGCTTTATGGAAGCAAAAACGTTATCCATTTTGTGCAGAAAAAGCTTTGTTCTCCATTTAACCAAAATGTATACCTTTTTGAAAAATGTCTTATTAAGAAATAAAGCCGAATCGGGGGGAACGATAACTAAACTGATCAATCCCAAGTCAATAAATAATTTCATCGATTATTACAAGAAGTATGAAGAGTTCCTTGTCTGCTATGGAAAAATCGTCTACTTCAATGAAAGCAAAAATGTATTTCTGACATCGAAGAACAAGCGGGATCCTCTGAATTATGTGCCTTTCGAAATCAGACATAAAATGTCTGGCGAAATAGAACCCTTAAATTTAATAACTGCAACGCGAAATTATTTTTCCAAAAAATCACAAATGATTAAGTTTCCCAAAGGGATAGTCTATCTGTCTGGCTACTTCCTATGGGTTCTATTATTCCTCAATCATAATAATAAAGAAGTAATTATCTCCTTCTCCGCTCGGAAGTACTCTTTCGAAACAGCCAAAGCTAAATGCTTCCAGTGCTACTACTTCTTACTCTATAAGTATAGGTTCCGCCCCATCAACATATCAGGCGTTGTAGACCTTATCCTGGAGACCGATTTAGAGTGTAAAAGTTACAACCTTCTGGATTACGAAGCGGAAGAGATAATGCCGCTGGATTGTTTGTTCCATTTTTTTGCCCCTTCAAATTATGTGCTTCAGAATGGGGTTATTTATAAAAGGCTTCTTCTTAATCGGCATGTTCGTGAGGGGGACCTGTGGAGGGAGCAATACGACTCGCTATTCCCCAATGAGTATGTCTCCTTGGACAACTTCCAAACGTACGAGATTGAGGACGACTACCTGGTGGCAGTGAATGAGGTGCATGGGAATTTGGGGCCCAATGCATCGGTGGAGGTTCCACTGAACGGGTACATGAACAGCGAGGGGGAAGGCTATACTGAGGTGAACCTACTTAACGATGCAGAGGTGGCTATTGGGCAGAGGCAGTACTACTCCCCGTTTGAGTTCCCCTCCCTGCGCCAGGATCAGCGTGACTGCTACCCGTACAATCTAATAGAACATAGCGAAGGTAATGAGTGCCCAGCCCCGAAGCATCGGCACTCAGGGGACGACTTGCTGCTTTATCACGACATGGAACAGGCGAAGAAGGACATCCCCCTTGACTTTACGGACGACGAAAATGGAAAATCGATACGTCTGAAAAGGAGGGATATCTACCTGGGGAAAAGTGTCAAACGGGGGAATTACACAAATTTGGATGGCTCACCGGAGGAGGTGGACGCCGTCCACTGCGAGGAGTACCACCTTCGCACTGACAATGATGGGAGAAGCGGTAGTAGCGGTAGTAGTGGTAGTAGCAGTAGTAACCGTAGTAACGGTGGCGATGAGAAAGCGGCTCGAGAACTAGGGGCAGACCAGCAGCAGGAGCAGAAGGAGAAGGAGAGAAACCATGGGACATATGACCCAAGTAGTCAACATAACGAAAACTTCACAATGTGCCGAAGCGAGAGAGTAGGAATGACCAGCTGGGGGATGCACCTCACGTGTGGAAATTCAAACGTGAGGAGTCTCCGTGGGGGGCAGAACATCGAAGAGGACCACGAAAGGGGAGAAGATCATCCCACAGTGAATGCTGGAAATGGAAGGGCACCAAACGGACAAGTCAGTTCGGATAGCATCGAGAGGAGTAACGACGAGGAAAGTGATTACCATTTGGAAAAAAAGGAACAGAAAAAAGGAGGCATCATTGGACAGAACTTAAACACAAGGGAGTGCAGCAACGATGAGCAAAGTACACAAGGAGGTAGACAAGAGACTTTTCTAAAGAACGCAGAGTACTACTACAAGGACGTCTGGAATAAAAACATTTTTCACTTCTTCGATAATAACATACAGGATGAATATTTAAAAAGGAATTATAATTCCCTGTTTAACAATGAGGAGGAGAAAAATGTGGTGTTTAAAAAAATCGTCGAAAAGGAAGAACACATAGGAATCTTCCTAATGCTTAATTGCCAGTGGCTTTCAGACTCCTTTGTACATAACATAAATCAGATCGAAACGAAGTATGCTGATATTTATTCCTTTGAAAACTATCTCAATACACGTGAAGAGGTCCTAAATTGGAAGTGTGAAAAGAATTTTATTAAAGACTGCGCTGATATTGCTAAGAAATGTCCTCGAGTTGTTGGCGTTCATTATGATACACATGCCCATGCCTGGGTCGTCAATTGTACCTCTAATGGGAAGAGACGGGATAAAAAATTTTTGGTGAAAACGTTTGGCTTTTTGCAGGCGAGGAAGATGGCTATCGCCCACAGGGAGAAGTGGCAGCAGCAGCGGGCCCTCCACCTGGCGAGGAACGTCAATGGGAAGGGCGCGTCTCGCGTGGAGACGCATCAAATGGGAATAAATGATTAGTAGCGGGAGAAGCGGAATTGCTGCTCTGCCATATATATCCTTCCTTTGCAAGTGTACTTTGAAACATTCTGCAATGAGAAAAACGCACGCCATGTTTGTACTTTTTCCCTATGCAGTTTCTTGTTCGTTTTAGAAAAAGAAAAAAAATTTTATTTCACTTGTTGTGCACTGCAGGTGTAGGTATATGTCTATATGTGCTCATGTGTGTCTCTTTTTTTTGGGCAGTTGGAAACGGAGCCAACCCTTCATGTTTTTCATTCCCCCTTGTGGAGCTTACATGACGCCCCACTGATTTTCAAGGCACCCCTTTTTATGGCAACAATGTCTTTTCTGCCACAATGGGGTCCCTTTTTTTACCGATCGGCCGTGCCCACAAACGATGGATAGCTGAACTGCCACGAGCCCACATGGGCCCTCAAAATTGGTAATCCCCACATGTTAGGATGCCTTTTGTTTGTCTAATTCAAAGGTCGTATTAATTCGGTGCGGATATTTGCTTCTTCCGCTTAGTTAGTGTTAGGATGGGAAAGAATGGAAAGATGTTCCGTGCGCGTGAGAGGAACTTCCTTCTTTGCGCGATGACAAATGGGAACCATGCGCACGTGTACAAATGGCTGCTTCTGCGTCATCGCCTGGGGACGTGGATGCACATAGGGACATCCCTATGTGGAAAAAAGGGGAACACATGGGCGTAAGTAGTAGCGAAAATAAAAGAAAAAAAAAGAAAAAAAAGGGTGATACGTTCCAAAGTGGGAAAAAATATGAGGGCGATACAGTGGCGACGCTGCGCTCGGGAGACCCCTCCCCCCAATTCTGAGTATGTATCCTCACGTGTAAGCTTCTTCGCGGAGCGCCCCCAACTCCATGGAATGGCGGCGCGGATGTAGCAAGGCAAGCGAGTGTTTCCCCGCTGTTTCCCCGCTGTTTCCCCGCCGCTTCCCAGCTTCTTCCCCGCCTAGAGGGTGGGTCCTCCGGAAAGGATGTCCGGACCCGCCTTGTCCGAGAATAACGCAAAATTGCTGATAAACTCCCGGGCCAGATTCTGGAGGTTTCTCATGTAATCCTCCTTGTCCTTCCACCCAACGAAGGGGTCCAGAACTTCCTCAGGAATGCCATCCACGCGGGCAGGAATGTTAAAGTTAAAAATCGGCGTCTTCTTATACTCAACATCAATAAGCTTATTCTCGTGTATGTAGTCTACCAGCATGCGGGTGTATTTTAATGGTATCCTTTGTCCATTCTTCGAACCGTAAGAGCCATAAATCCAGCCCGTATTTAACAGCCATACATTGGCCTTATGCTTCTCATATTTCTCCGCCAACATTTTTGCGTAGACCATTGGATGGAGTGCCAAGAAGGGAGCGGCATAACATGAGGAGAAGGTAGCTGTTGGTTTCAAAACGTCGCTTTCAGTACCTGCCATTTTGCTGGTATAGCCACTAACAAAATGGTACATCATTTGATATACATCCAACTTGGACAATGGAGGGATAACTCCAAAGGCATCACAAGTGAGGAGAATAATATTCTGGGGATGTGTATGAACATAGGCTGGAATTCTGGCATTTTCAATGTAGGATAACGGATAAGCACATCGAGTGTTTTCCGTTATTGAACAGTTATTATAATCTACTTCTCTGGTGACTGGATCCATAATGACATTTTCGAGAATAGCACCAAATTTGATGGCTTTATAAATTTCGGGTTCCTGTTTCTTTGAAAGCCCCTTACATTTTGCATAACATCCACCTTCTATGTTGAAAATCCCATCATCTGTCCATACATGCTCGTCGTCGCCTATGAGATACCTATTCGCATCAGCAGATAGGGTTGTCTTTCCCGTGCCTGACAGGCCAAAGAATAAAGTCACGTCGTTCTTCTTCCCAACATTGCATGATGAATGTAGGGGTAATTTCCCTTCCAAGGGCATTTTATACATAAATAGAGTTAAAATGCCTTTTTTCATCTCCCCAGCGTACTGTGTTCCTAATATAATCATATTCATTGCACCGAAATTTATAATGACAGACGTTTGGCTTGACATTCCGTCGGTTAATCTATTCGAAGGGAAATCTCCAGCATTGTATATGATGAAGTCTGGGATAAAGTTCTGTATTTCCTCCACGTTCTTCGGAGGAATAAGCATATTTAACATGTACAGTGCATGATAAGCTCTGGAGGTGATAACTCTGATTTTGATTCGACAGTTTTCGTCCCAGCCTGCATAGGCATCTATTACGTACAGATTTGGCTGCAAATTTAGGTAATCAATAGCCCTCCCTTTGTTTATTTCGTACGATTTTTCCTTCAATGGGATGTTTACCTTCCCCCACCAGATGTTTTCTTCTGAGGAGCTCTCCTTTACAATCCTTTTGTCCGATGGAGACCTCCCTGTTTTTTCTCCAGAAATGCAGCATAACGCTCCTGTGCTCGTTATAAACGAATTGGACTCATATTTCAATGCCATTTCGTACAGAAAAGCTGGAGTCGAATTGTGATGTATTCTGTTCACATGCAATCCCAGCTCGTGTACCTCTTCAGTGAATTTACTTTCCTGCTCCTGACTTAGGGTTAGGATATCCTTCGAGCTCATTATGGGTCCCACTGGTTTATTATACACCAGGTTTCTCCTTACCTCCTCAATTATTAACTCCTTGATGTTCTCCATTTTTTCTGCCAAGTCGTAATCTGATGACTTGTCTATCGACTTCTTCAGCGTCTTTTCCACCGTCTCTGCGACTACGTTATCCATCATTTTTACAGCTTCCCCTTGTATCTACTTGAAAGTTTGTTTTTTATTTTTTGTTTAACTGGGGAAATGTCACTCAGGGGATGTGTGCCTATCGGGGGGGAAACTTCTCTCAGCTGCGCACGTACATCCAAACGTATACGTTATATACCGTTCTGCTAGCTATGTAGCTATACGAATATGTATCCGCGCGGGGGGGCGACGTGCAAGACGTACCACACAACAGAAGGATTTTCCTTAAATGGAAAAAAAATGCATGATTGGGGTATCACTTGCGGGGATATTCAAGAGGAAGGGCATTCAAGGAAAAAAAAAAAAAAGAAAAAGGGGGGGAAAAGAAAAAAAAGGGAAAAAAAAATCAGCACACAGTGCTTCGCAACAACACAGTTAATATGCCGAAGAAAACCCTAAATTTACTCAAAAGTACCGTTATCAAAACGCCTAATTGTTCGATATGTTATAAAAAAAAAAAAAAAACATTCCTACATAGAAAAAAAAAAAAAAATAAATTAACGTATGCCTGCAAGTGTTCAGTGTGCTGCACAGTCATTACCACCACCTCTGCTAAGGCTTGGGAAAACATGAGCTTACGAAAAGAAGCAAAGGGGTCAACGTCACGACGTAGAAAATTAAAAATGTTAAAGAAGGCAACAAGGTAAGAGGTGCCAAAAGGGAGAAACAGAACAGTAAAACTGTAAAACCGCAAAACAGCAAAACGGCAGAACCGCGTAACTGCAAAACCGCCCACCAGATTTATTTCATTCCCTTTGAATTCCCTTTTCGAAGAATTTCCCGCGACCAAATTGTGCATGTTCGCGTTTTCTACCAACGAGGGGGCATCCCCTTATAAGGGCACACCCGTGCGCAAAGGAGGATGGGCGAGGGGACTGTTGACCGTTTACCGTTTACAGTTGCCAGTTGGACGTTCATTGTTGGCGATCCTCGCTGGTCACATTTTGGCGCTCCTTCCGTCGTCCTTCAAACAGGAAGCGCGTTCCACCAATTGTGCATACTACGGATGGTAGCAGCCGGGAGAACCATGAGTAGAGCGTGAAAAGTTTGTATTCGCTTTGCACACGCAAGTAGGTGAGAAAAAAACAGCGCTTATATTTTTCTCGAGGATTTTTTCCCCCCTTAATAGCGTGTAAATGTGTTATCACACATATATGTTCGCTTCACGTAGTTACAGCTGCATGTCCGCATTACATACATATAGGCCGTTTCTGGGGGCCCTACATTTTTCTGTTGCCCCTCTTTTTTCAAATGTATAGCAACCTCATAGCCGTCTTTCCCCACGAGCCGCAGCCAAAAATATATGCACTCCTCGTAGCAACAGAAATAACGTATGCTCATGAGCATATGGCACCATAATAAGAATATATAAATGACAAACCGCGGCCTCCTTTTTTTACGTAACCAAAGCTATTTATGGCACCCATTTATAAGCATACATTTTTTTATCGTAACAGAAACGCCATTTTAGCAAAAAAAAAAAAAAAAAAAAAAGGGAAAAAAATTGCATGTGTCCTTTTTATGGAAAGGGGGAAGTCGCAAAAAAAAAAAAAAAAAAAATACAAATCGCTAATCTGGGGCTGCGTAATTTTATATGCGAAAAGGCTCGAAGAAAAAAAAAGGCATACCAGTCGCATTGCAAATTTAAAAGATTTTATGGCTCACCAGCTCTGCTACCACTGGCAAGCTACAATTTTTTTAAAATCATGAAAACGGGAACCGAACCAAAGTTGCTATTAACTTATAACTTGACATCTTTACAGCCAAGTAAAGGAAGAAAAAAAAAACAAAAAAAACATTTCAACGGCGTAATTGAGAATTAACCCCAGTGCGAACAAAAATACGCGCAATCCATATATATGTAACCAAAAGAAAGGAGGAAAATTTTTCCTTCCCAATACGGCTCTATCCCAAAGTGACTACCTATAAATTGGGAGTAGCCTTTTCTTTCATACGAATTGCTACCATTTGGGTGGGGTCCCCAAATAAAGGAGAAAATCTTGCCGATCAAGTCGTTTAAGCAAAATGTACATAAGGGAACAGGACGAAGATATATCCGCGGAACCGGTCGTTTACATATGCGGAGGTACGTTTCGCCTTTATGATTTTTTTTGAGGGGAGCTCGCCGCATGGACCGCCTCGTTGCAAGTGCGTGTGGCTATGACGTGTACAACGCAGCCATTTGGTTTAATTTATTCATTTTACTGTTATCTTTTTTTTACTCACTTTTTTTTCCCACAACAGAATGCGGAATAGACACCGTCATAGCGCCCAACGCCTCCCTGCGATGCAAAAACTGTGGGTCGAAAATCTTTTTCAAGAAAAGGAGCAGAAGAGGTAATGACGTTTCCTACAAAGTATTTCAGCGCTTTTCATCTTTTGTGTCCATCTACCACCAGGTTGCACAGATTCCCTATGTACATTCTTGCAATTTTGCAATTTTTCTTTTTCTTTTTTTCTTTTCCCCCTTTTGTAGTCATGCAGTATGAAGCTCGCTAAACGTGCCAACCATCTTTTCGCCATGATGGGACACTGACTTTTTCCTCTTTTTTTTTTTTTTTTTTTTCCTTTTTTTTTGTTTCCATTTCCCCCCCAATTTGTAACATTGCCATGTCAAGTACCATCCAGTTGTGATCACATTTTTGTAAACAATCAGTTGGATAAATTTTTCATTTTCAAAAGGTACGTTCTTAAGTAAAATTTTTTTTTGTTTTTTCTACATTTTTTTTTTTTTTGCAACGAGACATATGCATATGTAGATACACGTGAATGGAAAAAAATCGGTTAACATATTTTCGCGCCCATCTGATGGGGTAAAAATTATAAATACAAAAGAGCAGGAAGTAGGAAGGCGCACGAAGTACAACGGTGCATGAAGTACAAAAGCGGACGCACAACATGGTGCGTGCATTTGGCGCATGTCCACGGGGATGCCGCCCATTCTTGAAATGGGGAAATGTAGCAACGAAAAGGTAGAGGTGCGAAAAGGTAGCGGCGTGAAAAGGTAGCGGCGTGAAAAGGTAGCGGCGTGAAAAGGTAGCGGCGTGAAAAGGTAGCGGCGTGAAAAGGTAGCTGCGGAAAAATAACACGGGGAAGTATACCCCTTGCGGGAAAACAAAAACATGGAAAAAAATGCTAAGGTTTTACGTGGGGAGATAAAATGTTCAGTCGAATTTACATCAGCGGGGGCAACGGGGCAAGACATGTGGTTGCCCGTTCAGGAAAGCGGGGGGTATTATATATGTATATATGTACGTACGTATGTCTGTATGAAGTAGACATGTCCCACCACCACTTCCCAGTTCATCTTTCCTCTCTTTTACACTTTTATGACGATTCTCGTGAGGATCCTTCACACGGCCTGTCTCTTCCTTATGTGCGCCTGGACCCGAACGAGGGAAGACAGATTCTCGTCGATCTTGTTCTTGTACTTGTGCTTGAGGATGGCGGCCTCGATGACGCTGACGCAGTTCTCCCACTCCACGAGTTTCTCCCTCTGGATGGTGCTCAGTAACTTGGCGCCCTCCTGTTTCAGAAACACCATGGTCTTTCCAATCTTGAGCATATTCTCGGAGAGGCCTGAACACTGCAGTAATTTTTCACACTTGGACTTGGCATCAAGGGAGGAGCTCTCAGCGATAGAAATATCGACAAATTTGAACTGGTATAGAAATTCGTCAAATGTTCTTCTGTATGAATAACCTAGCTGACGCAGGACGAGGGCTTCCAAAATGGAAAGGGCATGAAGTTGGATCAAAATTTTGGGCTCACACCACTCCAGGGGTTTCTTATTTTCATTTGGCTTGATACAACGAATAAAGTGTGGTTCTGTGCTGTTAATCAAAGCCATCAAGGCAGTTAGCTGGTTCAGGAACTGAGATCCTATTAGTGACCCCTTCGCGATTTTTCCCTTTTCTATAACTTGACCTTCAAACAAGTCCCTCACTATTTCGTTTTCCGAACTTTTAATTACCTCAACGAGTTCCCCTCTCAAAACGTCTTTATTCTTTAGTAAAAAGTTATCGGAGCAGTACTGAATAGGACCAATGGTGTGCTGGATGATGAAATTCTTGTTCGAAGCAACCTTCGCTGGAGTAAATCGTTCATTATTCTTCAAATTTGCAATACAAGCACTGACAAATTTCTCATCTGATCCTCCTGGGGCAAGGCATTGATCTTCCAAGTATGACAGAATGGATTTTCCCTTTTCACACAGCAGGTCAATGATTGGCTTGTTACTCGTATACTGCAATTCAGCCGTGGAGATTCCTTCATCCCTGTACAGTTTGGACTCCCTTTCGAAGACAATGTCGATAAAGTTCTTCTGGAGCATTTCATTCGTGATGTTAATGAATAGCTGTTCTAGCGAATTGTTCTTAAATACCTCAAAACCGAAAATGTCCAGCATACCCATGAATACTTTGAACCCACCTTCTGGCTCAATTCTAGTATTCAAATTTTTGATGATCCAAAGAAATAATTTTTCATACATAGCTTTGCAAAGGGACAACTGCAACACTTCTGCATCTTGTTTATTCCATCTACCTTCGATTTTATTTCCTCCAGCAACGGTAACTTTGATTAATAATTCTCTCTTAACCGACTCATGATCTATAAACATTAAATCGCATGCTTTCTTAAACAGGTCCATGTCCTCATCATGAATAGCCGCTGCGTCACTTATTCCTGGTTCTGCCTTTTCTACCATTCGCACATTTCCTAACGTTAAAATACCAGCTACTACGGATAAGATATATTCTATCTGATTATCCGTTAACTGCATATTTTTTAGACTCTCCAGCACTTCTTCAAAATCTTTTTGGTCATCTACAGAAGGTACTTCAGTCGATTTCGGGTTCAACAACTTGTAAGCCGTTACATCTTTCAATCCAAATTTTTCTCTCATACTTTGGCTGGCACCCTTAAGGAACTGATAAAATATGTGATAAGACCTCTCGTTATCGTCCTGAGTTATAATTCTGGATTTCTCTAGAAGAAAGGCAACCACTGATCCGTTTCTGATACCTCCCTCGTGAGATATAACTAACTGCATGAAACGACCAAAACGTGAGGAGTTGTTATTTCTAATCGTTTTCGCATTACCAAAGGCTTCGAGAACTGGGTTTGCTGCCATGATCGCTGTCTGGATGCTTAAGTCCATGTTTCCACTTTTGGAAGATGCAAAATATCTCATAATCTGCTTCGTTGCTTCTGTCTTTCCTGCACCTGATTCACCCGAAACGATGATCGTTTGGCTCTTGTTCACACCATGAAGATTCGAAAGAGCTTCTCTTGCACAGGAGAAAATATGTGGTGGTAGCCTCGTATGATCAGTCGTGTCACGGTACTTTCGAATCCATTCAGCAGTAGTATTTCCTAAGTCTTTGTACGGGTTGATCGCAACGATAAGGGGCATAGCAGTAGTGTATATCTGATTCTTGAAATATCTGTGTTTGAGAAAGTCCAGCACACACGGGATGTTCGTATGGTTCAGCAAGCCGATATCTCCAAATGACATTGGGTCCACTTGGGAGTTGCAGTTCCAGGCATGGTTGATGTCGATTTCGTATGACTGGGCGGGGTGCGCACAGCGCGAAGGGGGGGAGGTACAAATGTGTATACGCACATATGTGAGGAATTGTACGTGCATGTGGGGGTGCACGCATGGATGAAGGTGTGTAAGCATCCATAGAGGGTGTACCCATTCGAACTTGCCCTCACACGCGCAGCCACATGAAGCAGCTCATTCCGCATTAGCATGGACAACGCCTGTGCTTCGTCCTAATTTTTCATTATTTACCGTTCCTGTGCTGGGTGGGTCAATCTGCACAACGGTTAATTTCTCTCTTCTAGATCCTTGCTGCACAACACATTTTACAAACATGATATTTGGATTTTCCTCTATTGACGGAGATATATCGGTCCATATTTGATATCCCTGCGAGAAAAAAGAGGTAAGTTTTAAGGCGACTCCAAAATTGGAAATATGCGCAGCGGGTTATTTCGAACGTTGGCGATCTTTTCATTCCTTGGGAGAATTTTTTTACCTTAAACACAGTTCCGGTTTTGTCAAAAGCTTCAACATTTGAAAACCGCCTTACAATTTTGCTCGCCGTTTTCATCTCCTCACTTGTGACTGCCATTTTGTACGCGTAACTCAGAATGAAATAGGAACATAAAATCAAGGTAAACGTAAGCGGGAAAAATGCGTCAAATGGGGCCGAGTACTGCTTCTGGTACTCTAGGTTTGAAGCAAATATTTTTCGGTAAATGTTTAGTAAGAACAAAAAATGGAAGAACAAAAAAGGAAGAACAAAAAAAGGATAGAACAAAAAAAGGATAGAACAAAAAAAGGGAAGAAGAAAAAAGGAGAACAAAAAAAGGGAAGAACGAAAAATGGAAGAAGAAAAAAGGAAGAAGAAAAAAAGGAAGAACAAAAGTTGCAAAAGAACAAGAACAAAATCTGCAGAAGAATATTTTTGCACGAACGACTCTAAACAACAACGCTTTTGCCACACACAAGCAGATAATCGGGTTGCAAAACAGCGAAGAAGAAAACGCAGAAGCAAATGAAGAAGCAAACAAATAAATAAAGAAATAAAATAAAACCAAAAAAAAAAAGCCAACCTTCTGTTTTCACATGTAAATATTAAACGAAAAAAGAAAGAAAAATTGACAGGTAAAGATAAAATAAAATAAAACAACCTGAACGGTAAATAAATTTAATTAAAAATATATGTACGGTAAGATAAATTTTAGCTTTTTTTTTTTTATATATATTAAACTGGGAAGCTTTTTTTTTTTTTTTTTTTTTTTTGTTGCACACTCTTTGGTTATTTAAAAAAAAAAAAGCTTCCAGGCTTAATATATATATATAAAAAAAAAAAAAAAAAAAAAATGAAAAAAACTACATAATATCTGTACATGCAAAACCTGTAACCATACAATGTGGCACATGTATATGCGTGAGAACGTAACTATAATTATGTTTGTACAGAAACAGATATAACATAATTTACACCAAGCAGGTTTAACATTTTTAGGAATGATAAGTAACGCTTCATCACGATTTATGGCTTCTTAACTCTGGAAGAGAATCCTACATGCGGAAGAAAATGGGCCTTCATTTATTTGCGACGTGGTTCTCAACCCCGCGCTTGCTCGTTTTTTCAAATGGTTAGATTGCTGATGTTGTACAGGTGCATATGCAAACATCTGAATATTTGCACTGCTGAATATTTGCGCATCCGAATACGTGTATCTGATTTTATTTTTTCCTCACCGATGAATAGAGCGCCTTCGTGACAGTAGGAATTTTTTACATTTTGAGAAACGTGCATATTATGACGCATGTATTTTATGTGTGTATAATATAGAAACACATGTGTACGCTTGCGCGCGTATAAAGAAATTGCAAAAGAAAAAACGGAAAAACAAAAGCAGGAATCCTGAATATATTTTCCCGACCCACAAACTGAGCACACAACAGATTAGAGAAATAAACTGCCACGTTTTAACTTCAGTAAAGGCTTTGCATTAGAGGCTAACGTGTTTCGCTAAAAATTTCACAACGATCTTACCACCAGGTATTATTTTTTTTACCTATAATTATATATCTGCCGCTTGAACATGACAAATGCGTGAGACTTTCCGGCCGCGTGGGGTGCTCTTTATAACCACATATGTATTTACATATATGTACACACAAAAGTGAGTCCCCCCCCGCCGAATTTGTAATCTGCGGTGAGCAACACAATTGGAGATAGAGAAAAATCGTTGCCTTTAAATGGACACGTATATTTGTACAGATATTTACGCTTATGCGTATCTGTCCCCCAATTTCGACTATCCATAGAAGGAAGTTCGCGTTTTTCTTAAAATGGACTGCTCAGAGGCCTAACAGCAGTTCATGCATAGGTGGCTCCATTTTTCGAATATTTTCAAAATGCAACTAGCGTTTAGTGAAAAAGGGAACGCATAATTTAAAAAAATATATTTTTTTCCTTTTTCGCAAATGCCTGGTTTATTCGTGGACTCATTCTTTTTGCATGTGACGGGTTTCACTGCTGAACAAGGAAGGCTATTTTAAATGGAAAACGGGAAAGAATAAAAAACTAAATAGGGAAAAGAAAAAAAAACACAAAAAAATTATTGAGAGGAATCTCATTTTACTCTTTTTGTCGTCATATTACTGTCTTGTGAAAAAAATTGTCTAACAATTCTGAAAGGATGGGCCGACTTAATTCGGTGAACCCCTTCTTTTTTTTTTCTTTCAGGGGGAAGGTAGACTCTTTAGAAAAAATATCACTTTTTCCTCTTTTTTTTTTCCGCATGGGTAAAAAATTTGCATGCGGGTGAAACTTTTCTTCTGATGCATTATGTTCCTTAATTTGCGAATTTATCCCTTATAGGGGGTTAAATGTATATGCAAATTCCGGTTGTGTTTAATTCCCCCCCCTCCCCTGTGTGAAATCGTCTAGTTGCTTCCTTAGCAGCCGCCGAAATAGGAATGCAACGGCGCCTTTCCGCGGATTCGTTTTTTTTTAAAAAGCAGATGTAAATATATCTAAATATAAATATATATACATTTTTACTCCTTAGCATGTTCCTACATTTGGTTGTAAAAGCGCTCAGTGAGCTTTCTCACAGGTGCATGCATAATCAGAGCTGTTGCAAATGCAGAGGTGGCTTTAAAAACCTATCCCTCGAAAAATCCGCAGAAAAAGTAATGCTTGCTGTTAAAAAAAGGAGAAAATTAAAACCAGACAAACGCTTTAACTATATGCACGACATCCATTTTTTTCTTTTTTCCCCTTTTTTTTCTTCCCCATAATATGTACGTAATTATCTAATTTTTGTCCTGTTAAGTGTCCAACTTAATTTTCACCATGACGATAATTCATTTCGTTTAACTTGCTTCCTCTTAAGTGGTAAGCATTGTCCCACTGAGCTGTCTACATATACACACATTTATATATGTAACATATTTTTATATATGCGCAATTTTTGCTTTACGAACATACGAAACAGAAATTCCTCGAGGGGGAAAAAACAATCCAAATTAAAGACATACAATACAGTTCGATTATCGTTAAAATATTACCAAGTGTTAAAAAAATGGAATTCCTCACTTTCCTTTTGTTCTTTTTAACCGCTCTGCGATGTGCGATGTCATTCCAAGAAAGTAAGACACTGTCATGTGCATAATAAATGCCTAACAGATTTGTTCGCACTTTGTAAAAAAAAAAAAAAAAAAAATGAAAAATAAAGTCCATCATTTTAACATCAAATGTGACTTCTTATGGCTGAACGGCTTTATTTATTTTTTTTTCTTTTTCAGTAGAGATCCTCTCACACGAGAATAAGTTTTCCGTGAATGAATATATTCCAAAGGATGGAAATAAGGATCATGGGAAGCTCCAGGTTAGGCATCTTGCTTACTGGGAGTAGCACAACACAAAATGTGCAAGCGGGAAAAATTTGAACACAACCCGATTTGCCCCTTTTCCCATCTTTAGGCCACGGAATACTTCGAGAAAATGGCCGCAGACTTCAGCGATGACATAAATGCAGCCAAGGGAGCTTTACAAAATATGTTCCTGGATTTAGAGGCTTCTTTTGAGGAGTTGTCCGACGACATAACGAAGAGGTGAGCTACCAACACTGTGAAGCGTTCTTTGTTTGGTCGCACCCACTCAGCATTACTTGGCTGGGCGTCGATGCATACGTATATTTACATAAATATACGTGTGTACACATATGCTCATATACGCAAAATTCTACGCCCTTTTCCCCCCCGCTTTTTTTTTAAGTCTGTCACAATACAGCTACAAGACGGAAGAAAAGCTGAACATTCTGGAGGGACTTGTAAATGAATTTGTTGAAAGTAACACATGCGCATTTGTTTACACTGGAATGAAACGTGTTATAGTCCCCTGATGAGACAGCATGTACCAGGAGAGCAAACGAGAGACTGACACAATACCTAGGCGTCCCAATTTACCTACCTGCGAATTTGCGCCACACATTCCCATCCCCCTTCTTACAGACAGCAAAGGCGCCATCTTCAACTCACCCGAAGAAAAAAAACAAGTGGAAAAACAAAAGTTTAAAAAAATGTGTGATTTAATATTACAGAAGGTAAAAGCAGTGGTGGAACTGAGCACTATTAACTACTATCGAGTAATTTTAAAATTTGGTAACGGCGAGAGAAAAAGGGAAGTGCTGGACAAAGTAAAGAATGATGACAGCATATCGAATGAGTTAAGAAGGGAGCTGTTAAAATATGAAGACGTGGAAAATAAAGATGCAAATGTTTCCAGCCTGATCAATTTTATATCCCACATTTATGACAGCTTTATACAAAAGCTAAATGAATTAATAAGAGAAGTTTCTGTCGATTTGGGAAAAATAGTCTAGTCGACACGGGGGAGGTGTGATGCCCCTCCACGTTTTTCTGCGCCAAAGGAATCTTTTGCTGCAATTTTCAGGGGCGCAAAAAAGAAAAAAAAAAGGTACGTTCATACTCATTTGCAAACGTGTCAAAAAGCGGTTGGTGGTGGGGTTAGGGAGGGATGACACCTTGGACAAAAGGATCACTCTTCATTTTGCAGAAAAATCGTGGATTGCTTCTTCCCCCGTATGGATTTTTTTTTTTTTTTAAATACCGTTATGGGTGACACTTTTTCGGAGTAACAAAAGTCCCACTGGTGTACATCCCCACGAGGCGACTGCCTCAAAAAGCTTCATTTTTATCGATTCTCCGTTTTGTGATTTTCCACATTTTGGACTTCGCTATAGACGTAAAAGAAGTCCGCTTCATCCCCCGGCCCCCCACTTTACCTGCACATATGCATATGACCATTTTACACATTTCTGCACCCCTTAATCATTTTTTTTGTCTGTTTGGCAAATTTGGCAATACCTCCGTGCTGTACCTCACCAACAATGTATGTACACTTCCCCCTTTATGCTCATTCATGCCCATGGATACCCATTCATGTGTACCTTCGAAATGCTTATGTACACATTTGGGACTAGACGGGGGGCCAAGTGTATCCCCGGGGGGGTCCACACTACGCAGCTGGAAGAGGAATTCAGCAAGCAGCTCACGCGACTTGTGCAGCCCATGCAGCTTATGCAAATTGTGTAACCGTGCAAAGGAGCTTGCCGCTAAAAAGGAATTAATTTTTTGAGAACAGTTCCACGTCTCCACATTCTGCTACATTCTTTCCATAGCATTTTCTGAGGTTCCCCCCGCTCACAAAAAAAAAAAAAAGGGGGTACTTTTTTTTTTTCCTCTTTAGAAGCACCATGAGAAGTTCCCCCTTCCCATCATCCCTTCGCAAACTTTGCAAAATAAAGTGTGCATAAAATTTCCACCTCGGTGATAATTTTACAAGTCCAACGTAAGGGCTAGGATGTAAAAAGTAAGTCCTTTTTTTTTGAGTCACTTATCTGTTACATTCACTTGTGGAAAAATAATTCTGCCGCCTTCTCACTGGGATGCGGGGGAAAACACGCGGTGGTTAAAAGAGAAGGCAATTTGGAAGGACCTCCAAACAGAAAAAAACTGCGTAGAAATAAAAAATAAAAAACTCAAGGCCAACGCCTTGTTCGCCAAAATTTTGCCCCTGTACGTCGAAATGGGAAGCGTGGGGGAAAAAAAAGGTGTACGTTCGATTTGTATACACGCAGAGCTATTTAGTCTGCGGCAGGGAACATACTTTCGCACGAGGTGCACTTTCGCGCTGTTGGCAGGCACTGTGTGTAATGCATACGGACCGTCACGTCAGTAAGTACACAATTTGATTTAGTGACTGCGAGGAGAGCCATCTGTGCCACATAATACTTCTTTCTTTTTTTTTTTTTTTTTTTTTTTCCTTGGCGTTGGGGGGAGCCTTTTTTTTTTTAGCTGCTGCTAAATAGGGAAGATATGCCACTTCTTTTTTTGGGGGGGAGGGGTCTGTTAGGTTAAATGTCGAAGGGTGGAAAAAGAGAAAAAAAAACAGCTCGCGCAGTTAAGCATCCAAGCACACGTACGTACGTTACATTACAAACATATGCGTTAAGTGTATGTCACATGGTACTGTACCCCTGTGCGTATTGCCTACCAGCCTGTATGTCCGTGCAGCCCCCCCACCAGTGAGCCCGTTTTGTTATTATTCCCCGCGTGGCTGTACACGTAATAAATACCTACCAGTTATGTGCATATAAATATATATACATATATATGTATTATGCATGTATTTATTTATATATATCGTATACGGGGAGGCGTGTATTATACGTATGTTCCCCCCTCCAAAGGCGTGGAGCAGAAGTTCACTATACCCCCCCATAGCAAAACATGCCTAAGAGGATTCTGAATGGATGGCAGTTGCTACTGGTACTACTCCCCCCCCTGCAGAGAAAAAACCACTCTTCCGCATTGAATGCCAAATGAGGCCTCTGTAGAAACGTGCTTACATTATTATATTATTATGCATACGTAACCTTTTGGGAAAAAGTGTACCGTATAATAAACTGGGGACGTATGTAAATATGCGCACGTGACTTGATACGTATAGGATGTACCTATGTCACGCACGTAGCTATATACCTTACCCGTATATGGAGATAAATATGTACGTATGTATGTACCTGTACGTATCCGTATGCAGGATCACGAGGACTTTGATGAGGAATGCCCCCCTCCTGTACTACTTGCTAACGGCCTAATGTCGAAAAGATGGCGACTGTTTTGTAATGTACGGTTAGAGGCACGGTCGTAAATTTTTTTGTTCACTTTTTTTTGTGATTTGAAAAGTGATTCCTTCGCTCTATCTACTTCTTGTTCGTCGTCCCTCTGCTCTTCTTTTTCTTCTTTTTTTTTTTTTTTTTTTTTTTTTCCTTTTTTTTTTCCTTTTTTTCCATTTCCCCCGTTGGTTTTCCCCAATTGAGAAGTAGTATAATGCGAATAAGTCACGGAGATTTGTTTCCCTTTAGTCCAAGCATGCGTGTGCCCGCGTGGCCACGTGCACGATCGGTTTATTCACACGCACATGTGCTCTTAGCACAACCTGCTCTTCGTACCATTACGTCATTATCACAGTCCTCAGACCCCCTCCCCCTGCATCCCCCTATCCATTCGCCTGCCCCCACGTGCAACTATATAGCTGAAGGAAGCCTGTCCCGAACAAGACGCCTTAAATAATCGAATCGAAGAACATCACAAATCGCAGAACAACACAAATTGCAGAACAGCACAAATTGCAGAACAACACAAATTGCAGAACAGCACAAATTGCAGAACAGCACAAATCGCAGAACAACACAGTTTGTACGTCCCCCCTTCTTACAAGCGCAGCATAAGGTAAGCCATGGATGAGGAGGGGCTATCCAGCAACGAAAATTCTAATGACGTACTAGATGAAGAAAATCTGGAGGAGGAAAGAGACCATTCTGATATTTCTTTTGGTCATCAGGAAGAGGAGGCGGGTGGCCTCCACGGGGATAGTGGCGATGGTGGGGATGCCGAGGATGGAGGAGATAGCGTTGATGGCGGAGGTAGCGTCGATGGAGGCGATGTTTGCGATGGTCGAGATGCCTCTCTCGATGTAGAAGCCGCCCTTGATGTACTCGCAGCGGACGCGCCGAGTCAAGAAAAAGATGCCGAAGGAGATGGAAACGAAGAGGAGGAAGAAGAGGAGGAAGAAGAAGAAGAAGAAGAGGAAGAAGAAGAGGAAGAAGAGGAAGAAGAAGAAGACGATGATGAGGATGACGATGAGGACGACGATGATGATTATGATGACGATGAGTATGACGAGGACGACTTCAATGAGGCCACGGTAATGATCACGGAAGGAGGGGGAAAAAATCAATGGCGCCTATGTCTGGAAAATGCTGCCTGCAGAGGGAGGAAAAACCAAAATTGACCTAGAGGACGCCGCTGCCATGGTTTCCACCTCCAATAATTGCATGCATGAATGTGTTTATGGATGTGACAACACGTGTGTGCTCCGCCCACGTGGCGCTTTCTCCCCTCCCCACATAGGTCTCCTGGATTGAATGGTTCTGCCAGCTGAAACAGAACATCTTCCTCGTGGAAGTGGACGAAGATTTCATAAGGGATGAGTTCAATCTGATAGGGCTCCAAACGAAGGTGCCCCATTTTAAGAAGCTGCTAAAAATTATATTGGACGAAGACGACGATGATGACGACGACGACGATGAAGAAGATGACGAGATAAATAAAGGCTCCGATGAGTTGTATAAAAACAAAGACATATATGAGCAAAATGCTGCATGTCTGTATGGATTAATACACAGTCGTTTCATTTTAACGTCCAAAGGGCTAGCACTGATGAGGGAGAAATATAAATCCAGCATCTATGGTACCTGCCCAAGTATATATTGCGATAATGCTAAGTTATTACCCACTGCCATTTCGGAAGTACCCAAATTTTTAAGCCCCCTTCTGTACTGCCCTCGTTGTTGCGAAACGTTTTATCCACACAAAAATTCTCTGCTTAATCAGTTGGATGGCTCCTATTTCGGCACCAGCTTCGCTTCCTTCTTTGCGCTTTCTTTTAACATTCAGTCAGACAAGAAGAAGATTTATTACACACCTCAGATTTGCGGATTTACCATTAATAGAGACATACGCGAGACGCTATACTTGGATATGAACAAGGACAACAGCGAGTCGTCGGAGGAGTATTCGTAGTGGGCTTCTACCCTGCGCAAGTGTGTATGGGGAGCCGAGCAGTAGCGCGCAAAGAGGTTCTGTAGAGGAGGAGTTCTTCCCGTGTTCCCACACACACACAAAAAATGGGGGAATCATCCCAAGTGTACAGAAAGAGGAAAAGAACACCGAAACAGAAGCTGTCCCATGCCTTAGCGGCCCATCGAATTTTTTAAGTAACAGAAGGCGAGGTAACTACGACCGTGCTGTGGATTTGCTGTCCCACACGGTAACTCGCTTATACTCTGGAGGTTTCATTTTACTTGTTGTGTGGCCCCGCCCACCATTAGCAGCATGTGTGAGTGACCCCATTTGTATCATTACTTGCCACTCAGTTGTATTCGCGTGATGATACCGCTATGGGCGCACGCCAAGTTATTATTATATAAATGTGGATTATTTTATTTTTTTTTATTTTTCTCATTTTTCTTATTTTTTTTATTCTTTTCTGATACATCCACGCAAATGGATGTCTATAACTCAGCCATATTGGGGTATTTCTTTTTTTTTTTTTTTTTTTGCATCCCTTTTTAAGTGCCCCATTTATGAATGCACCTATATCCGCCATTCACCGAGTCTCTGTTATGGAGTACGTGCAGGCAGGGTCCTTTCACATCTTTCGTTTTCTGCGCTCTCTACATATGTGTATATATACATATATAGATATATACCTATACATATGGTTACCGGCGAAGCGAAATTTTTTGTAATTCATCCACCCGTGCTGTTCCCTGCTCCCTCTCTCCCGAGCAAAGCGAACAAAAACACGTTTGGAACTTTGAAACGGTTTTAAAAGTTGCGTGTTCGATGTGGACCAACTAGCCACAGGGCGGTCTTAATGTGAAGCCTTTTTTTCCTGTCTTCCCCTCTGGGAAAAGTGCTAGCCAGCGAAAAGGTGAATCCTTCGCAGCTTATCAATTTGGGTGTATAAGTCATCGCTGGGAAGTCACCACGTTCGGCCTACACATAGGTGGGGTGACCTACCAACATGGTGAATCCACCCCAGGGGAAATTCTTAAAAGGGAAAATTTAAAAAAAAAAAAAAAAAAAAAGGAAAGGAGACAAAAAAAAACCCCTGGGACACCCAAAAGGAAAGTTAAGGGAAAATTTAAAAAAAAAAAAAAAAAAAAAAAAAAAACACATATCAAGGTGCACATTTCCGCTGGCACGAGAAAAGGCACTACTCTACACTAGGCCCACTTCCTAATGATGTGGTTTCCTCTGCTGCCCCTCCCCCTAAGAGGCCTAAAAAGAAGGCATACGTCAGGCGGAGATTCACTTCTCCGCCTGTATCTCCCGTTCCAACCTGTTTCGCAGCTCCCTAATCCGAACCGTCAAGGTGTGATCAGGACCGAATGTCTCCTGTGCAACAGCGTACGATCGAATTAAGCAGGTGATGGCAGAGTGTGGATCATTTAACCCTAAGTAGGAAAAGGATAGATTATAATAGCACAAGGCTATTTGTTCATTTCTGTTCACCTCGATAGGGGAAGAAATTAGGATCCTTATGCAATCCTCAAAATAGCCAACAGAGGTTTCAAATTCTTCCCTGTGCTGGTGGAGCGAGCCCAGATTATTCAGTGTATCGATAATTAAATAATTCTCCTCCTTAATTATTAGCCTCTTATTAGCTAGCGATAATTGAAGAAACTCTTCTGCCTTTTTTAAATCTCCCAGATCTTTGTGTACGACTCCTAAGTACGTCTGTATGTTTGCACACATGATGCTTAATTCTCCAAAAATTTTCTTATATATGTCTAGACTTTTTAAATAGTGATTTTTCGCATCATTTAGTAGAAGATTTTTGTGTTCCATAATGGCTAGCTCTAGATAATGCTTGGCAATGTCTTCCGAGCAGTATGTACAAGAGAGAAGCTTTAACTTTAGACTCTCCTTGAGTAATTCGATTAGCTTCTCCGTGTCTTCGTTTTTTAATTCGAATCCGGAATTTATGTATGTATCTTTGGGTCCACTGTATGAGATTTTTTTTCCCTCATTTGTAAATTTCCGCGTAGCTGCACTGTGGAGCCCTTTGGGGGGGAAAAGTCTGCCCTTGCTCACCAGCCTTTGGAGAATTTTAAGGGCGCTCATTTTGGCCCAGAGCGGTTGCGCGTTTTTTAAGAAAAGGGGGGACGGTAACAGTTGCTGCGTGGAGCTTGCTTATTATTACTTATTGGCTGCTTCTTCCTCATTGCTGCTTATTGTCTGCCGTCCATTCGCTGCCGCCTATTCGCTGCCGCCTATTCGCTGCCGCTTATTAGCCGCCGCTTATTGGTAGGGTTCCCTTTCTGCGTGTGCGTAAATTCACCTGGACATGTTTCCAGTTGCTTTTAAATGGCTCAGTGCCACATTTTCCACGCGCAAATTTAGACGGTGCAAAATGGGCCCATTTTGGATAGTGTACTCTTCCTCATCTTAATCCCCTACCCAGTTGTCATTTGTGTGTTTGGGCAGAATGAGCACTTGCTTGCTCGTTTGGTAAGACCTCCTCCGCTGTCCGTTTATACTATATTTTAAGCCGCTTCACCGAGGCGTAATCGCTTCTTTGCCTTTTGACAAAATGAGGGCCTTCCCTCCATGCTTAAGGCAAAAGGAATTCCCCCGTCGTAGAATTGGGGATCTTTTCTGGTACATATTTTTGTGCTTCTGTTTCTCCGTGTAGGTAAATTGGTTTTTTTCTTCTACATTTTATTACCTCTTTTTACTTTTTTCCCTTCCAATTTTGATTCACCATGGCCACGGCTATTTATGTGCAAAGCGGAGATGGCGCGAAAATAAAAAAAACAGCCTGTTGCGTTTGTTCCCTCCCACTTTGTACATCGCCACACCGGTCGCGACGGAGGTCACGCATGACCTAATGGCAGCGCGACTGCTGGTCATTCGCTCCGCTTTAAGTCGATGCCAAATTAGTGAACCAAGTTAGAGGAACCAAACAGGCTTCATACGAAACACGCTTCTTACAAACACGCTTCGCACAAGAACCCTTCGTACAAAACACACTTCGCACAGGCACGCTTCGCCGAAATGGCCTTAAAACGGATGGGAAAGGATCCCGTGAGGGGCGCACCCATGTAGAGCATTCACCTGCCCTCATGGGGACTCCACCGCTCGTCCGAGTTTGGACCTTTGGACATTTGGGCAGTGGATAGCATGGGGCTACCTGGCCTGATCACGCGCAGACGACTGATCACGCAAATCGCCAAACAGGGGAGCGTACCAAACCATCTCCTAATTAAATTGTACCTGTACAACGTGTCGAGGATAAACATCGATGTGTATTACGACATCGTCTCTGCGCTGAAACAGGATGAGCCGCGGGGTCAGCAGGAGACTCGAATTTTTAATGTGCCCCATTTCTCGGACGCCAACTTAATTCTGTACAAATATTTCCAGTACTTACATCCACGATGTGATAAGAACAAGTTACTAAAATTAATGCTCCTTCTGTACGATAAGAAGTTACGAGAGTACAACGATAGGAAAATTTATTTTTATAACTCGTGTGTGCATGTGCACAATTTTGTCTTCCAAAATCTTTTTTACTATCATTCGAATTTTTCCTACTTGAGGAGAGGAGATGGGAAGAGCGTCCATAGCAAGTACACTCTGCACACAGATTTTTTCCTATACACATTGGACTTTTATTTGTTTCATTTGTCAAAGAATTGCAAATTTCTCAGCATCGAGCAATTGAATGTTCTTTCGAATATTTATGCAAATGTGAGTATCTCTCCGGATGTCCACTCATGGGAAGACATCCCCCGGATTGGAAGTGAATATATACAGGGGGAAACCCGCGCAAAGCAGTCCTCGCCGGAAGCGGCAAACAGAGTTGAAACGAAGGTAAACAACAAAATATGCCTCCTATTCATTCACATATCGAGGGGCATCATCGCCCAGACGCAGTCCTACATTGCGAGAAAATGCACCGCTTCGCGAGAAGAGGTCAGCATGCCCATGAAAGTAACACATACGAATGTTACCATATGTAAGACAATTTTAAATCGCCTCTTAAACAAAAGCATCTCAGAACAACATCGAGAATATGTCATTTTGAGAAAGAAATACAAAAAAAAGCTGCTAAATGTGAACACTTTAAAAAATTACCTGAACAGTGTTAAACATTTGAATATTATTAACATAAAAAAATATGTCTACATCATCCTTTACCTTTATTCTGATGCATTCCTATTTAATAAGTCGGTTTACTTTTCCTCTCTCATTTTTTACATTTTACAAAAATATAATTTACAGCACACGTACCTATTTAACATCCTATTTATCAAATTTAACTTATTTTTTTCGAATTACAAAACGTTGAATGAGTATAAAAAAAGGGTGTTGCTTGATGCACTTGGGAGATATATCGATTCCCTTCTGACATTTCGAATTAAGCAATGTGATCATGGGAAAGGCAAAGCAAAACAGACAGATATAAGTCCCGGGGGGGATCACCCAGAAGAATTTTTCTCCCATATGTATCACAACGAATTTGTAGAGAATGTACACATTTATAGAAAACTCCACGAGGAGGAGTACAAATGGAAAGGAAATTATCCCAAACATTTTACATACTTTGAAAATGCCCTCCTCAATTTGTTCACATATTTACATCACAATGTTACATTGGTGGAAGGAAGAAAAAGGACTCGAGAAACAAACTTGGTGGAGGAAGAAAATGTTAACCTTGTGCGCCAAATTTTTGTGGAAAAAAAATATAACAAATTTTGCCTGACCTGGTCCGAACATTTTTTGTCAAATGTTGTGCTGCTATCCAATTATGTTCACAACTGCCTCCCCGTTCTTTTTTCCTTCATGCAAAGGATTGTCATGGTTGGGGTGAAACACACTAGACGGGGGACAGAGCGGGACGAGACTCTCACTTTACATAGGAGAAACGTACTCATTGCGTGGGACGAACGGGGGAGAGGCACCCAAGCAGGGCGTTCGAGGCATGCGCGGTGTGTGCGATTTTCACCGTATGCACTGTGTTCACGACACGCATCCCTCCGTAAGAAAACTCCCCATCTGAAAAAAGGAGCAGCATTAAACCCATTTTCGTCCCTTTTGACGCACATATACCGCACATTTAAAGAGGTTGTTGCTAAATGCCGCCCAAATGATGAGGAGAAACTTACGAGCATACCCCCCAAATGGGAAGAAGAATCGATTATGTTCAGGAACATAAAAAAAAATAGCAATAACAAAATGCGAACGAGTCTCACACACTACTACGTCAGCAGCAGTTTTAAAAAAATCAGCGATGGGGACTTGGTTAATGAGAAAAACATTCTCACCTTCTACTGCGACATATATTTTAACAACAACATTGTCGAGGTTGACGGGCCTAAGCATTTTCTCATTTACTACAATTTTGAGAGAAATGCAGACCAGGGTAGGCAGAGTAACCAGGATAGCCACTTCGACTCGAATTGTTACCCCTCCTTCATCGCCAACCATAGGGACATTTTCGATTTCGATATTCTGTTTCCCTTTTTTTTCAACAACGCGAATGTGAGAAATTTGAAGGACCGCCAAAGTGGCCACTTCTACTTTTATAATGACAAGAGCCTGAAGAAAAACTTTTTTTTGTACATCAACGGTTATTTTGTGAAGCACATAAACTGCTACGATCGGGACATAACGAGCTTCAAATATTTGCACGACGTGTTGTTCAGGCGAAGGAGCGACTTCCACGTTGCGTGCGGTGGAGCGTATCAGCAGGCACAGTGTGACAAATGAATAGCTGCTATTACCTCCTTTTGGATGCCAATTGGGTGCGGCTGCCCGATTAGCCACCACACACTTGTATGCTATGTGCTCGCTGCCACGCCTGCACCGCGTCTCGGGAACAGTTCTCCCATTAAAACATGATTAAAAGTGAGTTAGTGAATCTGTTAGTCTTTTTTCTTTCTTTTTTTTTTTTTTTTCTTTCTTTTTTTTCTTTCTTTTTTTTTTTCTTTTTTCTCATTTTTCATGTTAACTCTGCGCCATCACGTCAAATAAGGTGCGCATGCAGTGACTCCTCTCGCTGCAGATCGGCGTCCATAAAGACCCACATTGACGAGTACATGTGAATGAGTAAAAATGTAAACACGTGGATTTGTGGACTTCTGGACTAGCGGACGATTTCCAAATGAAGCCCCGTTCAAAAGTGGACAAAAAACCACGCGGGGTCAGTGCGCAAAAAACGACGGAGGAACAGTGCCCAAACCGGTAGGGCAACAACCCAACGGATTAAACGAACACACACGGATCATGTGGAAGCAGTCGGGGGTGCCGATGGGGGTGGATGCGATTGGCCTAAACTCTTTATACAACAGGATGCCTGTAGTAGGGGATCGCTTCGCTCTCGATTTGTTTCTTCCTGTGACGTGTTTCCTGCCCCACCGCGTTACTTATCCTCTACACCTCTTGTCTACCCCTTCACGAGGGACCGCAAGACGTACTTCAATATGCCACCATGCTTAAAATACTTGACCTCGATCTCTGTGTCGATTCTGCACAGAACGTCGAAGGAGGTGGTCTTGCCCCGCTGGGTCATCTGGACCTGTATGTGCTGCTGGGGTCGCAGCTCCCCCCCATTCAGCACAATGGAGAAAGTCTCCGTGCCGTCCATATTGTAATGAGCAGCACTTTCATTGTTCAAAAATTGCAAGGGAAGGACGCTCATGCCGATAAGGTTACTTCTGTGGATACGCTCAAAGGACTCGGCTAAGATTGCTTTCACTCCAAGGAGGTAGGACCCTTTGGCTGCCCAATCTCTAGAGCTACCACACCCGTATTCCTTCCCAGCAACGACGATAACGTCTATATTGTCTTGTTTATATTTCATAGCGGCTTCGTAAACAGACATGATTTGTTTAGAAGGGATGTGTACGGTATTTGGTCCCTTATCAGGGCACAATTTGTTTATCAATCGGATGTTAGCAAAGGTCCCTCGTACCATGACTTGGTCATTTCCTCTCCTCGCTCCATACGTATTGAGATCTTCATCTTTTATATTTTTTGACTTCAAAAATTTATACGCTTCGGAACTTTTATGGATCATCCCAGCTGGGGAGATATGATCTGTGGTGATGCTATCCCCAAGGAGTAGCAGCATATGTGCATTCTTAATGTCGTGGATTTTTTCTGGATCCAATTTCATGTTATCAAAAAAAGGGGGCTTATGAATATACGTCGAATTTAAATCCCATTCGTACAGTTTGTCTTGCTTTATCTTTATATCATTCCAGTACTTGTTCACATATTTCACGTTTTTATATATATCTGTGTACATTTGCGCTTTGAGGTACTGCTGCTCATACGCATTGATTTCTTCCTTCTTGGGAATCAAATCAAGGGCTTTAATTTGGTGTCCCCCTTTTGTAATAAACGCATAAGACGCGACATCGACGTTGACGTTTCCTATCAGGCTTAGCAGTACGACTAGCACTGGGGAAGCAAGGTAATTTGCCTTTACCAGTGGGTGTATCCTTCCTTCGAAGTTTCGATTGCCTGACAGGACTGAGGAACAGATCAAGTCATTTTCATTGATAACGTCTTCCACTTCCTTGTCTAGATGTCCGCTGTTTCCTATGCACGTCATGCATCCGAAGCCGACATTATAGAAGCCTAGTTTTTCTAAATAGTGGAGTAGCCCCCCTGCTTCCAGATATTTCTGCACCGTTTTGGACCCCGGGGAAAGGGAACTTTTAATATAGGGGATTGGCTCAATTCCGTGTTCTACGGCCTTCTTCGCCAACAACCCAGCTGCTATCATGGAAGAGGAGTTACTCGTGTTGGTACACGACGTGATGGCAGCGAGGACTACACTGCCATGAGTAAGAGTATACGTCTTCTCATCCTTATAGGAGAACGAAATTACTTTTTCTCTATCCTTCTGTGGAATGTTATACCCTTTGAACCCCACTGGGGATTTCAGACAGGAGCTAAAATCTGTGTGCAAGTCGGATAGAAGCACGTTATCGTGTGGCCTCTTCGGTCCAGACACAGACAAGCTCAATTTGGACAAATCAAGTGTGTACACATCGGTGTATTCTATGTGATCCGTGTAATTATTAAATAGAGAGTTCTTTACTAGGTATTCCCTAATCAGGTTTACCTTCTCCCTATCTCGACCCGTTTGTATCAAATACTCCAAGGTAGTATCATCCACGCCAAAGAAACCGACAGTCGCCCCATACTCCGGGGCCATATTCGCAATAGTTGCTCTATCTCCTAGCTTTAAATCTTTCAGACTGGGCCCAAAAAATTCCACATATTTATTTACCACTCCGACTTCCTTTCTTAAGAAAGATGTGATGTAAAGAACCACATCCGTACTTAGCAAATGGTCGGATAACTTCCCGACGACATTTATCCCTACCACCTCTGGCAAAGTCATTGATATGGGAAGACCTAACATGGTTGCTTCTGCTTCTATGCCTCCCACTCCCCAGCCTAAGATACCTAACCCGTTTATCATCGTAGTGTGAGAATCGGTCCCAACTAAACTGTCTGGATAAAGCACTCCATTGTTGTTAAAAACACAGTGCGCTAAATATTCTAAATTTATCTGGTGCACTATCCCGGAACCGGGTGGCAATATTAACATATTTTTAAATGAGTGCATTCCCCACTTTAGGAATTTAAATCGCTCCAAATTTCTTTCGAATTCTTTTTTTTCATTTAATTCTCTTGCTTCGGGGCTCCTACTATGATCCACTTGTACAGAGTGGTCTATTACTAAATCGACTGGAATGAGTGGATTGATTTTATCAGCATCTCCTCCCAGCATGGCGGCCGTATCTCTCATGGTTGCCAAATCGACTATACAGGGCACGCCGGTCAGATCCTGCAGAAGGACCCTCGCAGGCATAAATGGCACCTCCTTCTTTTTCCGGCAATTATCCTTCCATGATAGAATCGTTTCCACATTATCCTCAGTAACCTTCAAATTGTCGCAGTTGCGGACAGCCGATTCGAGCAAAATTCGAATCGAGTAGGGCAAGCTTCTTATCCTGCTGTCGTTCATCTCGTTAAGGTCGTAGTAAGTGAGCTCCCCTTGGCCCATCTTCCTCTGGAGCTTCTCAAACGGGTTACCTTTACTGCAGTAGGTCCGCACGCAGCTGCGGAGGTTCACATTGAGGTTCTTCATCGGGGAGGCGGTAAAGAGGCAAAGCGGTAAAATTGTAACGCGGCGACGCGGCCAGGAGGCGACGGGCAATACGTCCGAGTGTTCCTGGGTGGGGCTGCTGGACGATCTCGCTCCGCGCCCGTGATACCCGCTAATGAGGCTCGCGCGTCGCTTCAAAGGATGGCTCGCCGCGCACCTTTCTACTTTATCAGAAGGGATACGTTCGTTCGAGTTTTCCCCCCTCTTCTGCACAATTGTGTGTGATGCTGCAATGTTACTCCAATCTTGCTACTCCCTCTTCTTCGCCTATGTGTATGTAGGCTGCTTCATTCCAGCGCAGTTTGGGATTTTTTTTTAAAAGTGGGTTGGCACAAAGACGGGTAAACTAGCGGCATTTCGGGGGAACGAACAAAATTGGGAGAAAAATAAACTCGGCTGATTCGCCTTAGCTGCGTTGACCCTCGTAAACGTTGCACTGGAGGAGGTGAGGGGGTCCACAAGGTGTATCACTTTACCATTGAGCAGGAAAAGAGAAGAAGCCCTTTTGGGGAGCTTTTCCAAAGATTTAAAATGCTTCCTCCGTGTGACCGCAAAAAATGGCTTTCCTTGTCCTTCCTTTTTACTGCTCACAAATTGGCAACGCGAAAAATGAGGTGCGATTGGGGAACTTGGCGGCAATCGCGGAAAAGATGTGAACGCGAAAGGGGAGGTCAATTCATGTGGTCACCCTTTTGTACACTTACATACTTGCGTATAGATTTAAGTCCGTCTGTTTGACGAAATACGGATCAAAGTGTAACGTGGGATGCGCTATGTTTGTCGCATGTTACCCTTTATGGAGTTGTTTTCACTTTTTATTTTTTTTTCATATGATCGGCTGTCGTGGGGAGGGGCGAAAAAGAAAGGAAAAAAAAAAAAATGTGCGACCCTGCTTTAAGGGTGAACCTTGTCCCATGTGAAGCGCACTGACAATCATTATGTTGTTTGGTTCATTCTGTCGTTTCGTTCATTTGGCCGTTTCGTCCAGTTCGCCGTCTCGTCCATTTCGCCGCTTCGTCCATTTTGTTGTTTCCCTTTCGAAGGGACCCATTAAGGTGTAATTTTCGCCTGAGCCATTTTCTCTGCTCAATTTAGCATCACACACACGCGGGCAATACACATGTACATACGCACATGTCCATATGCCAATGTTTGACCCACTTTTCTTACCCCAACAGAGGGGCAAGCCCTAACCAGCGGCTCCTTTAATCGGAAAAAATGGTTGCCCTTCTGAGCGGCTACACAACTAAGCACCATTGCAACTTGGCAACGTTGTGTTTACTTTTTCGCGCCACAAGGGGGTAAACAAAAAAAAAAAAATTCCGCCATTTTGGTAAATGTCCCATTTGACCCTCATATGGGCATAATAAACGTAAGGGTTAACAAAATAGGAAAGACATGGCGTCACATTTTTCACCCCACAGAACATGTTTCCATTTTTATTTACCCTTTGTGAAGAAAATTAAAGAGTAAGGTGACATTCCACCATGACGTTTCAACTGGTGAGCAAACTTAACTTATGTTCCCATTTTAAATGCGCATATTCCTTGGGGTTAAAAATAAAAGGAACGTTTGTTTATTCGTCCACTTTCGCTGCGCCGGGCATGGACGAATCGGGATCGTCGAAAACAAAAAAAATGTGTACCCCCTTATATCGTTTTCCCTTCCAAGGGGAACTTTGCTCGGAAAAGAAGAAAAAAAGGAACAGGTAGCTACACGGGAGGAAGGCGCATCCCCATTTCGTAATTATGCAAGACATTTTTTACGTATCATGTGAATGTGCCCACGCCTAATCATTTTCCCAAAACGACATTTTTTTATCTGTCCTTGTGAAGCTCCACGTACGAGAGACTGTCCCAAAAATAACAGCGCGTAAAATTACAAGTGCGTAACAGCGGATGTGAATATGCCTATACCCCCTGTGCAGGAGTGATTTGTGTACACGGCGTATGTCGCACCTTCCGAAGGTGTATAAGGCGAAAAATGGGGGGGGTTCCAGAGGGGTCCCCCATTCGGCTGTCTCCACAAATAGGAACATATTAGTATAGTTATGCGTAAGGCTCTTTCCCCTCTTCCGAACAAACTGGCATCCCTTCGTACGTCTATTGTTTGTTCTCGCCGTATTTACGCAAACATATGCACGGAGTAAAAAATGGAAACGCCAAATGGGAGGGTTAATTCGCTTTTACATTGCTCCTTTTGATGACCCTCGCTAGGCATAATGTACGAAGGTACAACTTTTAAGTGGTCAACAGATTAAGCAAACAGGTGGTAATGAATAAACGGGATATGCTTGCATCGTTGTATTTTTGCCTTCTACCTCTTAATTTTTACCTTTCCACTTGTAATTTTTTTTTTTTTCTCACCATTTTGCGTTTGCGTTCCTTTCAGGTGTGCAAAATTAAAAGGGAACGACAATTATGCTGCCCACGTGGCCATAGCATCTTGCTCAAGGGGGTGTCGACTCTATTGCGTAAAAATATTTTACCTCACTTTGGGGGGTAGCCACACCATTTCAATGCCACGATTTTTTATTTCCTTTACCCATTTAAACAACTTCCCATATGTGCCGAATGGGAAACTTTTTTACAACTGTTGGAGGAAACTTTTTCTCTTTTTAAATACCTCCAAATTATGACATACAAAATGGGGACACTAACAAAACAGAAGCGTATCATTTATTTTGTTTATGCCTATTTATGCTGGCCTCATTTTCCCCATTGATAGGCTGCAAAAGTGTTAATAAGAAAAGGGGAGTCGTCACAGGAGCGAAAAAAAAATATATTAAAAATATAAAATACAAAACTTCACCATTTTGCACTGAGGCGGAGGCGCAACTAATTATGTGCTTGGGGTACTTCTTCTAAAAGGGGCCATCTTTATTGCGAAAAGAAAAAAAAAAACGTCACCTTTTTGGCACCTCCCCTTAATTTTCTCCCTTGCTGCAAATATTTGGAGATAGCGGTGTAGCGGTATAATGAGATCCGATTCGCCGTATCGTGTAATTGATATATACATGGGAATCCACCACCACCCCGCTGAATGCGAATAAAATAATAAATATACATTACGGAACAGTGCAAAGTTGTGTTCGGTTGACATGGAAAGGGCAAAACATGCCGCCTGCTGGGCCCCGCCCCTTTCCAAGGCTGGAATGACTGCGAAGTGACGCCCCAAGTGCAGTTGCCCAGCACGTAACTCACAACGGTAAAAAAACCTGTGCATACGGCGCTGGAACGTATCTATATATGTTTGCATAAAATTCCCATGTGGACCCAGCGCGGTTTTTAGCTTGGGCGTTTTCCCCTCTGCATATCATCGATCCATGCGTGCATGGCAGGGTATATTATATACTTTCGCGCCGTATCTTCCCAAGGCCGCATGAAGCGCCCCACACGAGCAGATAATACACCCAACGGGATGTGCCAAACGGATGTGCCAAATGGGATATTGTGGCATACATTTTACTACCCCCCACTGGCGCAATCTTTGCAAAAAAAACATTCACGTTGTGCATACTCTGCCGATTGCCAAATGCTTCCCAGATTGTTCTTTTCAACTCACCTTCTGATTGGAAAAACGACGAAAAAAATAAAAAATATGCAAATCAACCCATCTTCAAAATGTATATTTAAGAAAAAAAAAAATTATTAACAATTCAGCCCATGTTGTTTACGCATAAAAGAAAAAAAAAGAGCTATTTTATTGTTTCCCATTTAAAGAGAAAGTGAGAGAAAGCCCATTTTCTTTTTTTTTTCTTATTAAAACCTTGTTGACAATTTTATCCAAAAGAATATAAAAGGTAAGCTAAGCTATATACTCGTTTTGTAGAGTTGTTTGCAGGCATATGCGGGGAAAGGAAAAGAGTAACACGCGTGACATTTTTGTTTGGTTCGTCCGTGTAGTGGGCTTAATTCTGCCCTTTGCTTTTACTACGCGACCGGAACAGATCGTTGCCCGCTCACCGCGTTGCCCATTCATCGCTTGACACATCGCCTCTACACTTCCCTCTGCAGCGAAGATGAAGCTGAACATCTCCAACCCACTGAACAACGTTCAGAAGAGCATCGAAATCGACGATGAGAAGAAGCTACTGCCCTTCATGGAGAAGCGTATAGGGAACGTCGTCCCGGGGGATTCCATAGGGGAAGAATTTCTAGGATATGTGTTTAGGATAACCGGAGGAAATGACAAGCAGGGATTTCCAATGATGCAGGGAGTGCTAACGAACAACAGGGTGAGGTTGTTATTTAAAAAAGGCATGAAATGTTATAGGCCAAGAAAAAAGGGAGAAAAAAGACGAAAGTCCGTAAGAGGATGCATAGTAGGCCAAGATCTATCAGCACTAAACCTAACCCTAGTTAAGAAAGGCACAAATGAAATCCCAGGCTTAACCGACAAAGCAGTGGGGAAAAAATTAGGACCCAAAAGAGCCTCCAAAATTAGAAAGCTTTTTAATTTGGACAAAACTGATGATGTTAGGAAGTATGTCATTGGAAGAGCTATTTCTAAAAATGGAAAAAACCGATTTATCAAGCCAAAGATACAAAGACTTGTTACAGAAAAGAGGCTACTACGAAAAAGAAGCCTCATAGCAAAGAAGGAAAGACGCCGATTAGAAAAGAAAAAAGTAATTAAAGAATATAAGAAGGTTCTGAACAAGTATAGAAATGATCTGCTGAACAGGACCGATGATGATGCGGGAAAAAAGAAAAAAGTTAAAAAATCCCTTTCCAAAGATATCCAGAAAAAAGGAGGAAATAAAAAAGATAAAAAAAATCTTAAGGGCGCCAAAGCAGAGGAAGGGAAGAAGGATCACGTTAAAAAGGATGGCACCAAAAAGGAGGTAGCCAAGAAAGACGCTGGGAAAAAGGATGGCACTAAAAAGGACGTAGCCAAGAAAAACGCAGGAAAGAAGGGCGCATCGGGATCCGCAGCGGCGGGCAAAGCCAAAGAGGAGAAGCAGTCCAAGCAGGACGGCAAGGCGGTGAAGGTGGACAAGAAGGCCCCCGTGAAGCCCCAGAAGGAGGGCGTCAAGGGTGGCAAGAAGAAGTGAAAAATGTACCCACGTATGTGTGCATGTAGCTGTGCTGTTCATGTAGCTGTGCTGTTCATGTAGCTGTGCTGTTCATGTAGCTGTGCTGTTCATGTAGCTGTGCTGTTCATGTAGCTG